GGTTATGGTTTCTGGAACTGCTAAGATGTGCCCTGGGTCTGATGTGGGGCAGCCCTGGGGGAAGAATACTAATACAGACACTGATACTACAATGCTGGGGAATGATGCTGGACACAATGTAATGTGTGGCTATCGTTCACAAACTACTTATAAGCAGAAGTCATTCTGCAGTCCTAAAGCTATAACTCCATTAGAACCTCTTTCAACAGCTAGAGACCCTCTTGCTGATTCAGAAACCACCTATTACAACAAGCCTGGGCAATGCTTGGGCTTGTAAATTAGTTTTACTCAGTCTATTAAAACAGATGTAGTCTAAGTGACTGCTGCACCAGCAAAGTATTCTTTTTGTTTTGTTTTTTGTTACAAAGTTTCAAAGGTAGGCAAATATATTTGCAATAAGAGCCTTGCAAATATTACCTGTACACATAGAAATCCTGAAGAAGATTAAAATTAAACTCTAGGGACTTTGCCAAAAATGAGTTTTGTATCTAGCTCACCTTGGTGCAAATTCATCAATGGTAAGGCCAGCTTTCAGTCCAGTTCTGCAGTATTCCAAGCCATCTGCTATAGTATAAGCTAATTCCAGAATGGCATCAGCTCCTGCCTCCTGCATATGGTATCCACTGATTGAAATGGAATTAAATTTTGGCATATGCTGCAAAAATAAAAAAGTGTATTACAGCAGAAGGAGGAGGAAACCTGAGAGTTGTGCTAACAACACTCACAAATAATCCACTATTTGTAAATTGCAAATGCAATATGTTAACTGTTCTTTTTGGATGTTTATTTCGCATACATTCCCATGCTTTTACTATTTTTCACTATTTGTTATGCTTTATTTATTATTTCTCATCATCACTCACTTCCTCAAGGTGTCCCAACTCTCCTATAAAAATGCAACTCAAAAAACAACTGGTAGCACCGAACTTCCAGGCACAAATCCAGGGCTTCACTCCTTCCCTTATCTGCTTTCTATGCTTTATTTCACAGCACAAGGCCTTTAGATTTTCTACCTCCTTGCTCCTGCTAACAGCTGAATAACGCTTCTTAATTATGTGGCTTCTCTCTCTCTGTACAACAAAAAGCCTCTCTACTCCTTGTATCCAAGCTATCTGCTATCCCTTCAGGCTTGTCTGAATTTGATTTTGATTTGAATTTACTTAATCCTAAAATTTAGAAATGTTTGCAAATGATTTGAGACCTTAACTTGTCTTGATTTGTCTTCCCACCTTCTTCCACAACTGCATCTTTGATCACTATAACAGGTCTTTCTGTTCTCTGCTTTGTTCTGCAAAGTCCCTTATAAATAGTTAACCAGGTATAAAAATGAAATAAATACACTTAAACAATGAATACCTTTGAGGTGTACTGGAAGATGTCAGCAATAATCCGCATTGATGGTTCTGGAGGGAAAATGTACGTATTTCGGACCATGAACTCCTTCAGTATGTCATTCTGGATTGTCCCTGTCAGCTTGGCCTGAGGCACTCCCTGTTCTTCCCCAGTTACAATGAACGTTGCCAGCACAGGGATGACTGCTCCATTCATTGTCATAGAAACTGACATTTTCTCTAAAGGAATACCATCAAAAAGGATTTTGGTGTCTTCTACCGTATCGATGGCAACTCCAGCCATTCCAACATCCCCTCGAACTCGTGGATTATCTGAATCATAGCCACGATGGGTGGCTAAATCAAAAGCAACAGACAACCCCTGTTGGCCAGCTAAGTGCAGAAAAGAAAACAAACAAAAGAAAAAAAAAAAATAGATTCAGAAGTGTTAAACAGCTGCATTAGAACTGGATCTCAACTTTTTGAAAAGGTAGATAATAGCAGGACAAGATTTTAAGTTGAAGGAGGGAAGATTGAGGTTGGATGTCAGGGGGAAGTTCTTTACTCTGAGAGTGGTGAGGTGCTGGAACAGCTGCCCAGAGAGGCTGTGGATGCCCCGTCCATCCCTGGAGGTGTTCAGGGCCAGGTTGGATGGGGCCCTGGGCAGCCTGGGCTGCTATGAAATGTGGAGCTTGGTGACCCTGCCTGTGGTGAGGGGTTGGAGCTTCGTGATCATTGGGGTCCCTTCCAACCCGGCCATTCTGTGATTGATCTAATTTTATTCAGTTTATTTTCCACCACTCAAGTTTGTGCAGTAAACCCATTTTTTGCTGCTTCCTGCTCAGATTTCTCCAAAGTAATTTTCAACTTGAAAAGCTTAGTTGACCAAAAAATATTTAGTCTTTCCATCTCAGCCACATAATCAATTTACCATGCTTAATGCATTACTGAGCCACAAATTATAAATGTGTACACACAGGTAATATCAGGGTTTGCAAACAGAAATACTGCTTAGCTGGAAACACGAGTGTGATAAACCACACCACATTAACTTCTCTTTACCACAAACATATGAATACAGACCATTGCCATGGCTCAAATGACATATGCAGTGAGAGAAAATTGTTCATACAGAGCAGGGAACCAGACAGAGCTCTTTGTTGCTGAGTTGTGGAAGCAGTACCTGAAACTCTACAAATCCCAGACAGCCAACAGCACTGCTGCTCCTGAAGAAACTACACTTCATTCCTTTGCCAATCAGCTTCTTTATCATCAGCAGAACTCTTAGCTGTCAGATATCAGCCTCTATTGCTCATCTAAAAACTAGGTGTTAGCCCTGAAGCACAGTGACAACTTTCAACTGTAAGAGAGAGTAGACTCAGAGACTTCTACAAGTGAAAATACCTAAAACTGCTGCAAAGCAAAATCCTCTGCAGAAATACTGGGGAAACTGCTCTCAAGTAATTAAAAGACCAATCTTTTATTAAGCTGGCCTTACTATTACAGCATGAATGACACTACACATATGTATTTATGTGAGTTTAAAACTGACAATATGAGATGGGAACCCAAAACACCGGAATGAACTAATTTCAGAATTAACTGATCAAGCTCAGATTTCTTCTGTCTCTACAAGCTACTACATGCTCACAAAATAGGAGTGAAGCATTCCATGAACTCTCTACTCTTTGGACCCTGGGATGCTGCCAAATTTTGTCAGCGTCAAGTCAGAGTAGCAACAGATAACATTTAACGTGTTCATCTTTCCATCTCAATAGTAAAATGAAGTAAAGAGAGTTTCAGAAATCATGCAGTACGATTGGGAAGAATCCATCAGAAATCAAAACTCACAAGGCTTCATAATCACATTTGCCATACAACTCCTCCTGCGAATGTTTCCCATTGTTTAGCTTGGTGATGTCTTCTCCCAGCACAGCTATCTTACCTTTAATATTGTCCTTGTAGAACTTGTTGCTCTCCTCCACAGTGCTGAAGCCAGCATACTGGCGGATGGTCCATGGCCTGTATGTGTACATGGTTGGGTAGGGTCCTCGAGTGAAAGGTTTCACCCCTGGCAGCTCCTCAGGAAGCTCTTTTGTGTCCCTTTTGGAGTACAAGGGCTTGATGTCGATCCCCTCTGGGGTATGCCAAATTAAATCCTTTGGATTCTTGCCTTTCAGCTGCTTTTCAGCAAGGGCAGCCCATTCAGGGTGCAGTGGCTGTCTGTGCAGTGAACGCCATGTGAGCCTGCAGGCTGGAAGCTGTGCTGGGCAGATGCAACGGCAGGACTGCAGGCACAGTAGAGCACCCTTGGCTCTTAGCATGTTTGACCCAGTGGGTGGCCAGTATGGTATGAGCTGAAGGGATTAAAACCACATATTTTACGTTATCATATAAATCTGACATGGGAGAAGTGTGCATGGCAGCTCAAGCAATTTGCTAAAGCCAAAACAATTACTCAGGAATAAACAAAAGCGTATTATTCACTTGCTGATTTGACAGACATCCTCTTCCCTTGCCATTCAATCAGAGAAAAAAAGAGCTAAGGAAAAATCCTACATTTTCTTCTAGCAAGGGAAGACATTCCTGCAACTCATCTACAGCCACACATGAAACACCTAACTTATCCCCTAAACAACACCATCATTAACCAGGCAGTGAAAGTCATAGCATCACAGAATCATTAAGGTTGGAAAAGACTCTATGATTATCGAATCCAACCCATCACCACCACTCCTATTAAACCATGTCCCTATCTGACACGTCTACATGGTTCTTGAACACCTCAAGGGACAGTAACTCCACCACTTCCCTGCACAGCCTCTTTCAATGTATTACCACTCTTCTGGAGAATAAATATTTCCTAATATCCAACCTGAACCTCCCCTAGTGCAACTTGAGGCCATTAGCTCTTGTTTTATAGCTGTTAGCTGGGAGCAGAGGCTGACACCCACCTCACCACAACCTCCCTTCAGAGAGCTGTAGAAAGCAATAAGGTCTCCCTTGAATCTGCCCTTCTCCAGACTGAACAATCCCAGCTCCCTCAGCCATTCCCCATAACAGCTACGCTCCAGATCCCTCACAGATCGGCTGCCTCAATGCAGCTCCAGGCCCTCCTTGTCTTTCTTGCAATGCGTGGCCCAAAACTGAACGCAGTCCTAGAGGTGCAGCCTCACCAGAGCTGAACACAGAGGGAAAATACAACGTCAGTGCAATGCACTAAGACTGCATGCCTAACTGCCTTCTCTTCTCCTCTAATCTACAAAATTCCTAACACCAGAGAGACCCTCAGCCCCCTGGAAACCCATTTCCTCACACACACACACACCTACCCAAGCAGCAGACACCACAAAGCCCCGTTTGGTCCCACAGCCCGCCCTCCACACACCCCCTCAGCGGCCAATAGGAGTGAGGACGCCGACCTGAGGCCTCCCTGAGGGCTCCCAGCCCTATTCGGCGGGGAACGAGAAAACTGAAAGGATCAGCACAGCCCCCAAAGCCACCCCGGCCCCTGCAGCCCCGCTACCTGCTGTCAGCCCCCCTCACGGCACCCGCACCTCTCGCAGCACTGCGCATGCGCGTCGAGAGGCAGCGCGCATGCGCGCATGCGTGCATTCCCACCCTGCGCCCGCCCTTCTACGCAGGGGGCGGTGGCTGCCAATGCGCATGCGCCGGGTTGCGCGCGGGATACGGTTTGCTAACGGCTCTGCGGGCTGACGCGAATCGGTGGCGGTGGGAACGCTGAGCAGGCGGTTGGGTGGTGAGTCTTTGGGCAGGGTGAGGCGCTGGTGGATGTTTGTGCTGTATTATCTGGCACGGGCTCGGGAAAGCGGGTAGGGGGGGCTTTGCAGTTAAAGACTACAGTTCCCAGCATGCTTTGCGCTCGACGGGTGTATACAGCCGCTGCCGCGGGCCCCGGTGCATGCTGGGAGTTGTAGTCTGCGTGCCGGCTCAGAGCAGAATGGTGGCCATTCGCTCCTGTCTGCAAGCGGCTGGTCTCCTTTCAGGGGCAGAACGAGGGGCAGCGGGTGCAGGCTGGAGCCGTGGAAGCTCCGTGTGAGCGTGGGGGAAAACCTCTTTACTATGAGGGTGACAGAGCACTGGAACACGCTGTGCTGTTGGCTGTTAAACAGCCCTGCTTTGGCTTCATCATGGAGTTTCTTCCTTGTGCTCGTTGATGCATGGTTTGAGCTGTGTGGAATTGAGTTGATGGGTTTTCTTGTGTTGTTTCCTCCTGTTCTGTGTGGTTCTTGCAGACCATGAAACGCCGCCGTGCATCCTCTGGTAAAAGGGGAGAGGCTGCTGATGGGGGAACAGCAAAAAGATCCATGAAGTCACACAACCTGCAAGGACCTACCAGCCAGAAAAGGGGAGCAGGGGACAAAGGAAATAAACATCATCAGAAAAGAAAGGTAAATCATTATTTTGGGTAAAGCAAGCTAGAAAAGTAACCAAAGAAAGAAAGAGGGAGTTTTGCCTGCTTTTCTGGTGTCATTGATGATGAGTCCCTGTTGGAGACGGGATTGTAGTGAGACTCGAACTCAGCTGTTCATCAAGGAGCTTTATTAGATCAGACTCTGCTTTAACAGCAGGGTCGGGTCACTTCTAGCAAGTGTCCACAGACCCAACATACACACAGGGTATTTATACACTTTTTTCAAGGATGACTACATAGTAAAGGGGGATAACAACATGCTCATCGTCTCTCTCAGTTCTTTCCATAACATGTTGTCCTTATTCTTCATGCCTCAGGTAATCTCAGTTCTTTTTCCTTAATTCTCTGAAAAAACACGTGCACCTGCTCTTACCTAAAGACCAAAATCTCCACTCAAGCATTTCAGTACTCATTTCTTATCTATTCTTACCTTGACAATTCTAAGAACTTGATTTATCTGTTGATTAATTAACCTACTGACCCTACCATGCCCATGGGTGGGACTATACAGGGGTAAATGAGCAGCTTCTGTTGCAAACTGAATGTAAACCTTACAGTCTCCTCAACAGTCCCTCATTAAAGTTTCTCTTCTTGAGGAAATGCCCATACAGACATTGACCAAGGCCATGGGGTCCAACCTTTTGGCTAGACAACTAGGAATTGTCTTTGGCCACGTAAAATACATAGGTTGCTCACAAAGCAATGTCTTCTTTTTATTTCCATGGAAGCTACCACAGATACAACAGTGCCACCATTTGATAGAGCAAATTTTTAGCTACAAAATGCTGTTTTTCAACATAGCCACCACCATTAGCTATGCATTTTCACCAGTTGTGAACAAGAGCCTTCATGCTACCCTCCTGAAAATCTGCACCAGAGGAGGTGACCACTTTCATTCTCTCCACTGCTGATACGCACCACCAACTCCTCACTATGCTCACATCCACTGGTTGGTCTCCATAAATCACAGAATAACAGGATGTCCTGGGTTGGAAGGGACCTCAAGGATCATAAATCTCCAACCCCCCACCACAGGCAGGGCCACCAACCTCCACATTTCAGAGCAGCCCAGGCTGCCCAGGGCCCCATCCAACCTGGCCTTGAACACCTCCAGGGATGGACGGGGCATCCACAGCCTCTCTGGGCAGCTGTTCCAGCACCTCACCACTCTCACAGCAAACAACTTCCCCCTGACATCCAACCTCAATCTTCCCTCTCTCAACTTCAAACCATTTCTCCTTGTCCTGCTGTCACTCACCCTTTCAAAGAGTTGATTCCCCTCCTGTTTGTAGGCTCCCTTTAGGTACTGAAAGGCTGCAATGAGGTCGCCCCTCAGCCTTCTTTTCTGCAGGCTGAACAAGCCCAGCTCCCTCAGCCTGTCTTCGTAGGGGAGGTGCTCCAGTCCCCTGATCATTTGTGGCTCCTCTCCAACAGCTCCCTGTCTTTCTTGTACTGGGAGCTCCAGACCTGGACACAGTACTCCAGATAAATGTTCAGCAAGTGTTGCTGAGTGTCTGTGATGGCCATTTTTTTTGCATGAAGGAATTCAGTGACACACCTTTCTTTACCTCCACTTCCACATCATACGCCATTCTGTCAGACTGTCTGTAATGTCTGATGGGATATTGATGGGAAGGTTCTATCTGTACTGCCATCTCAACAACATCTGTCTCTGATATCATGGGCCAACATAATAAAACAAGAGGCACTACTTTCGGAGCAGCTCTTCTTTGTACTACAGTTGATGTGCATAAGCAACAATTTTTTTTTATTTCCCTTTTTTTTTATATTTTTATTCAAGCCTAAAATGAGAGAGAGCAACAAAATCATAAAACCAAAGGGACGTGAGACCTGTTTTTTGTGACGTGAACACATCAGGCAGGTTTGATGCCATTCCTAGTGAGCTCTCAAGGTGTTTGTCAGCGGTTTTCAGTGAAATGTTATTCTTCCTGTGCTTCATCTTTGAGAACAGTTGTTTGCAAATGTACGTACTGCCAAAAAGTGATGACATGAATAAGGCATGACTGTGGGTTGGGGAGTACCTGGAAAGACAGGGCTTAAAAAAAGTCTGACAAAGAGACATAATCTGATTTTTGAGTTGAATGTCTGATTGCAGTCCTGTACAACCCATTTGAAAATCTGCGGATAATATATCTATGTTAACTAAAATGTAGTTGCAAATACACCAAAAATTGATGATCTTTTTCATCAATCTTGAAACCTGTTCTCAAGTTTCTGTTTCAGAATGGCAAGCACGCCTGCATATCTTTCTCTGTTCACAGGACTGAGTTTAGCCAATGTATAAAAATGCATAAAATTGTTTGCCATCATTTGAGTTACTGCAGCCCTGGTTAGCCAAAAATATTGTTTATTTCATGAGCCATCCTTCAAACAGGAGCAACTGAGAAGAATGAGTTGCTTTTCTTAACCTGCCTGAGATGAATTAAAGTGTTATGGTGCGGAAAGCTTTTTTTGTAGTCAGGAACTGATGTGCTTTTACATTTTATAGCAGGTTTCTGGTAGTAAATAAGTGATTGCACATTAAGGGATGTTTCAAAATTACAGTGTTTGTGGTAAATATTTCTTTTCAGCGTGTCTCTCAGGCAGTCAGAAGGAAAGATGAGGAACATGAGGATTCTTCTTCCTCTGCAGGTCAGATTGTGTTCTTTTCTTATTTTTTGTCTCATATAGTGCTGATAGTAACTGCTCTGTTCAAGTCATAGATGTTTAAGGTATGTCATTGAAACAAGTTGGAGGGTTTTTTTTTCTGAACAGTAACTGAATATTTGCAGTACAATCTTAGTGTAGGAAGGAAGCTGTTTCTATTTTGTGCTTGTTAAAGAACTTGTCACTTGCAACAAGTAAGCACCACATAATGTGGATGGATTTGATGTAATATTTTTGTGAGATGAAAAAATATGAACCATTACATCTTTGTCTGCTAGGTGAGTGAGCTGAGTCATGAGGCTGTTGATCAAGATTTGGCAAACCATTTCTCTTCCTTTCTACTTTTGTGTTATCAGGAGAAAAAGGTCATTCAAAAAAGGTGAAGCTATCCAGTGCAAAGCTAGGATCGTGGCAACCGCTCTCAGAGAGCAGCAGGAAGTTTCTGGAAAGTGTGATGGACTCAGGAATACTGTAAGTGCTGAATATCCTGATGATTCTTTTCTGCTTCACAAGGAATAGACTGAAAATCATAATACTACCTAGGTCAGGAAAGCTTTGGAGCTCTTTTGGGTGATATAGTTGGCTAGATACATTTTACTTGGTGTAGAGTCATTTGGGTTTGAAAAGATCCATTATGATCAAGGCCAACCATCACCTAATTCTACCAAGTCCACCACTAAGCCATGTCCCTAAACACCCCATCCACATATCTCTTAAATACCTCCAGGGCTGGGTGCTCAACCACCTCCCTGGGCAGCATGTTCCAAGGTCTAGCTTCCCTCCCCATGAAAAAATTTTTCCTAGTACCCAGTCTAAACCTCCCTTGGTGCAACTTGAGTCTGTTTCTTTATGTTTTATCACTTCTTACCTGAGAAAAGAGACTGACAACCACCTTGCTCCAACCTCCTTTCAGAAAGTTGAAGAAAGCAATGAGGTCTCCCTTCAGCCTTCTCTTCTTCAGACTGAACAACTCTTTTTCTCTCAGCCTCTCTTCATAAGTCTTATGTCTTCATTCCTTCACCTGCCTCATTGCCATTCTCTGCACATGCTCAATCAAGGCAACTCAGTATTTTCCTTGTAGAAGGGGGTCAAAACTAGACACAGTACTTGAGATATGGTCTCACCTGTGCTGAATACAGAGGAACAGTCCATAGTACTGTTGGACACTGTTTCTGATGAGAACTAGGACACCATTGGCCCTTTTGGCCATCTGGGCTCACTGTTCACACTCATGTGGCTGTTGACCAAAACCCCTCTCATGTCCTTTTCTGCCAGAAAATGTATGATGTAATACTTCGTCTGAAGCTGGGAATTTTCATCTAGAGAAGTTCTGACTGTTTTCACTTGTCTTGATGTGTTCTTCATGTTTTCAGGCTTTCTGATAAAAATTTTTGCCTTTCTTTCCAGATCTATTTTGTGCCAACAAAATAAGGGAAAAGAAGATGTTCAGAAACACCTGAATTTGCTGAAAGAAAGGTAAGAAATTATAATTTTGGGTCTGGTCATCTGATTTACTGCACATGCAGTATGATGGCAGTCAAGATGATCTGCTCCATGACTTTCCCTGGCCCTAAGATCAGACTGACAGGTTCTCCAGATCCTCGTTTGTGCCCTTCTTGTAGACAAGCGTCGTGTTTGCTAACCCACAGTTAATGAATTTTAGAATTCCACTTTGGAAAATAATTTAAGACAGCTTTTCTTCCCGTCTTGATCCTTTTACTTCACTAGCAGCAATTGTGCTAAACCGTTTTATTTCTCCCCAGGGAAGTTATTAGTTAGTTTTCTTTTTGTTTTGCAAAACAAACTCCTAACAAGTCATTTTTTTTCTTCTTTTTATAAATGAAGGGTGCTGAGAGTCTTCAAGACCTTAAAGGTACCCTCAGGGAAGCTGAGCAACCTGAACAATGTCCTGAGGTTTCAAGTGGCACAGAAACAAATGCTTGAGATGAATGAAACAGCTTTGGTACAATTGCAGGTACGAAATGTTCAGAGGGGAAGTAAATAAGTTTGAAGCTCTTGCTATTCATAGAATGGCCTGGGTTGAAAAGGACCACAATGCTCATCCAGTTCCAACCCCCTGCTATGTGCAGGGTCACCAACCAGCCTGACCTTGAATGCCTGCAGGGATGGGGCATCCACAACCTCCTTGGGCAACCTGTTCCAGTGCCTCACCACCCTCTGGGTGAAAAACTTCCTCTTAATATCTAATCTAAACCTCCCTTGTCTCAGTTTAAAACCATTCCCCCTTGTCCTGTCACTATTCCTCAGTGTGCTGCAACATTATAGTAGGACTGCTGTCTGCCTCTGCTGCTGTGAAGGTGCAGTCTGCTGTTTGTCACTGTCACCCACTTTTGCTGCAGAACAGAGTATCTTTTAGTTTGTGGGTTTTTTTCAGTATCTCAACTGATGCTTTGGAGAAGAGACAGGAAACCCTCAGTGACTTACAGAGTACTAATGAAGATATTAAAGAATCTATAAGTTCAATTGCTGTTCTGTTTTTTTGTTTGTTTGTTTGTTTTCCCTGTTTTTCAGGACAGCATGTGTAGGGATTTTTATACTTTTTCTTAAATAAGAAGTCTTACCATCTCTAAAGTTGATGTTGTTCTGTTTTTGTTTGTATTTCATCTTAGGAAGAAATAAATGAAGCTGAGAAATCAGCAGAACGCACAGAAGAAACTATACTGAGACTGCAGCACGACATCCAGGTGCTCAAGATCCAGTTAGAGGAAGAGGAAAAAAAGGCCAGGAAGGTACTGACAGTAGGTCTTGCTGCATTACAGGAGAAGCTGTTTTAAGAGCTAGCAGAGAAAGGCTGTTTTGCAGAGAATGTTGTGTAAGGAAGGCCTCATCTGTCTTTAGGAATGTATCTTTTCAGTTTTTCAACTTCAGTTGCAAAATTAAAAAAAAAAAACTTGGGTAATGACAGTTTATTTTCCTACTTGTGTGTTTGATATTTGTTTGTACTTATTTAGTTTTATTTATTTTTCTCTTCTAGCTGTTCCGGGAGGGTGACACTAAAGAACTTCACCTTCCAGAACTCCCCAAATGCAGTTTACAGGCACCCACTTTGCAGGTGAGCATGGAGTATATTTTCAGAGGCAATTTGATTAAGAGAAGGAAGGCTACAGAAAGTTTGTTTATCACTTAACCAGTGCCAGAAAGGCCAATCTAGTGGAAAGATTTTTCTTTTTCTTTCTTTTTGTTCAGAACATATAACTGTTTTAAAAACAGAACAAAGCCCTTGAAAACATGCCACTTAAAGGAATACCTGTCATGTGTTTGGAACCCTATGGTCCTAGGGAGCCTGTAATCATTTCTGGAGCATATCTATGGATGGAAGGAAGTCTATCTCATTCTGTGCCTTTGAATCTCTCTTATTTTTAGTTGTATCTAAATACAGGTAGGCTGCATGAAAGTGTGATGGAGTGAAATTCCTTTTGGACTCAACGTAATCAGTTTTTTATTGCCTATTATTCTTTCTTTTCAGGAAGAAATTTTGATGGTAGAAAATCAGAAGGGTCTTTTAGAGGATATGAACACCATTCAGCAGTCAGCTGATATGAGGAATATGTTGACCTTCATTGAAAAGATCTATGAGAAGGTGGACTTTGTTTGAGAAACTTAAACATTTGGAGCCTTCTCTGACACAAGATTTATGCCAGTGTGCTCTGTGGTACAGTGGGACACTGGTCATGGAAATGGCACTTTGTTCTTAATGGCTTTACTATTGTGCTGCTGAATATAATCCAAGCTGTAAATTTGTATCTCCATTTTATTTTCTTGGACCTGTTATGGCTTCTTCTAATGTTGAAATCTGTTGTCCTACAAGAAGGGAGGGAGGAAGGTGGCACCTGTGTATCCTTAGGTAATTTCATACAGTAAAGTTACCTGTTGTATTTGGGCTTTTTGTATTTTATCTGTAAATTGTTGAAAGCAATGCCTCTTAAACTAACACTTATTTTGGGATTAAGTCCACTTTAAACCTGAAGTGTAATACAAATGTGTTTATCTCATACTCAGACTTTTGATACCTGTTCTATTGTCAAATCCTTTTTCGAACTTTGCCTTCTGTGGAACCTGCCCTGTATTTTCACACATGTCAGTTACCATTTACAATTCAGAGGCAGAAGAAGAAATAAAGTTTCTCTATTATTTATCCTAGAATAGGCAATCAATTAGGTTGATCCATGAGTCATCAATAATTCTGGTCCACAAGAAGTGCCCTTTCACAGTAATTGGGGATTTTTTTTATGGGTTAGTAGCTTGTGGTAGTGATCGTAATGGGAGGACAGTTGGACTAGGTGATCTTGTAGGTGCTTTCCAACCTTGTGATTCTATTGATTCTAAATAAAAAATAAAATAACAACATTTTGGTTTAGGTATACTGAAGACCTTTATTACGATGCAGTGTTGCGAATATTTTTCACCAAAGGAAACCATGAAAAAATCATAACATTTTCAAATCGAACTGATGCTGATTTGAGCCCTAACAGCGTGCTACAGCACACATTTTATAGGGTTTGGGGACAACGTTAAATGAAATAGCAGGGCTGAGGTCCAGGTCTGAGGAGGAAACTCCGGGAGGAGGCTGGAAGGTGAACCTCTGCAGAAGGCTGGTGAAGAAGAGGAAGAGCTCCATTTTGGCAAGAGTCTCACCGGCACAGATCCTCCGTCCTGCAAAGAAATGCAGAATGTGGGGGAACAAAATCAGCTGGAGCTGTTTCTTCAGTGGTTGGAGGATATGAAACATCTCTCAGCACCTTTTATTCTGAAGAAGAAAAGTGACCTGAATTGCCATGTCCCAAATATGAACAAAGGACAAAGCAACGCTCAGAAGTTCATGAGAGCATGAGAGAGATACTCGGATACTTGGTCTTAAAGGAGTAATTATAAAGCCACTTAGTGACTATTTTCTTTTCCTAAAGTGGGTTGGTTGTATGCTTGTATTTGGGGATACGTGGAAATACAATCCAAATTTCTTAACTCCAGTTTTCAACAAAATATGTATCCTCCTTCTCCAGCAGGGATTTATTTTTGGCTCCTTGACCAACTGTGACTGGTTTTGTCCAGACTTCTGCAAGCTTAGCCTGATCACAGGCAATTTTTATGTTATATTTTGACAGAAAAGACCTCTGAAAACTCACAAATGTTGGCTATGCCAGGACAGAGCTGCGAGAGGGTGGAGATAGTCTATGGAACACTTAATATAAGCCTCCTTTTAGAACTGTTGTAAACGTAACTTTTTCTCAATCCTGGTCAAATTCAGCATCTTCTAAACTTCTTAATAATAGTTCAAGGCCAGAACTAACAATGGCCTGAACTAAGATTTGGTTTTAACTCCTGTTTGGCAAAGTAGAAAATGGGGCACTATGGCGTGGTTGTTCTATGAATGAAGCCTTCCAGGGAATGCCCAGATCTCACATTTCCTGGATGTGATTTCAGTCGGGATGTTTAGACTTGAATCTGATAAGGAAGGTTAGTGAATTGGGAATATCAGGCATTCTTTTACCAAAAAAAAAAAAAAAAAGGATTTTACTTTATGTTGGATGTTGAGTATGATGAGAAAAAGCATATTCAAATGTCACACAAAATATATACAAAATATAAAAAGTGCAGAGCATTGTGGAAATGTTGGCCAGAAATTGATTATAGGAACTTAACTGAACAATGACAGTGCCTGAAGAACAGGAGAAATGTCAGAAAAGGAGCATCATTGTGAGAGTAGGAATGTCCTGTCCTTTGGAAAAGGATGCAGATATGTAAGATGAGGTGATCATCACTCACTGTAGGAGATTCAATGGCGGCCTCTTTACATCCTTTGTTATTAAAAGGAACTTAGGTATTAACATAATGGAACCCTTGTTTGTTATCACAGGCTAAGAAGACCTGATCAGCTGGGACTACTGAGGACTCTTGAAAAGGGACGTTAAAAAGTTAAACTTGGTTCCCCAGGAAAAAATACAGAATCCACATTTCCTTCGTGCTTTGTATATATAGGATGTATATGGTCACCCAGAAATGCAGATGTGTATGGGAAGAGCTAGAGCCAAAGATTCATGTGTTGTAGAGCAGAATGTATTTGTAATGCAGAAACGTGTTATCTAAATGGAAATGTGCTGAAAACTTCCTTCACATTTAAGAAGGCACTACCAGTTCTGTTTTATAACGATTAAATACTGAGAAACTAATAACCAGAGGCTGAAAGAATTAGCAGATGTTTGTGAGTACTATCTATTATCAGAAATACATCCTGAGAAAGTTGTGAAATAAAAGTTGGGCAATGGTCCCATGAAAAAGGTAGTATGGTGGCTTTGATAACAAAGAACCACTGGTATGAGCTGCCTAAGATTGGTACAACAGCAGTAAATAAAATGAGAAGGTACCTGCTGAAAATGGCATGAAAGCATCTTTCTTCACTAACTTTCCCTTGGAATCAAGAAAGTGTTCAGGATAGAACATGTCTGGTTTCTCCCACTGGGATTTGTCTCGCAGGACAGAGGTCAGCAAAGGGATGATGTAGGTTCCCTGCAAAATGAGACAACAGAAGTATTCTGCGGTCAAATATTTCAGTGGAGGTAATGGCAGTAAGATTTTACCATAAAGAAATCAGCCCGGACAAGGAAATTATTCTGACTGCCATTGTGTGGCTTCACAAAAGCATTCATGTACGTCGCATTAAGCAAGGTTGAGATCGGAGAAACGCTAAAAGAAACGATCCCATAAGCGTCTCACCTTGGGAATGAAATAGTCTTTGAGAGTGACATCTTCAGCAGTCTCATGAGGCAAATCCAACGGCAGGATATTAGCAAACCGCTGAACTTCATGGATAACAGCATCTGTATATGGCATCTGAGTTCGATGCTCAATGCGAGGGGGGTTTGACCCGATCACTTGCTCTATCTCTTCTTGGACCTTTCCTGAGGAGAGAAACCAATGCAAGAAAGAGATAATGATTCATCCCTCAGACATACTGGGTTGCACTGATGCAAAACTATGGAAGATCTCGAGTGAAAGCCATGCACTCTCCCAAAATCTTTTAATAATGGGAGGTGAACAGAACTACAGTGTCTGATAATTTCTTTGCCGATAAGAATAATTCAAGAAGACTCTTCAGTAGTTAATATTTTCCTTGTCAACTAAATACATGTGTAAAAGTGTGTTTAAGTTCTGCTTTCTTATATATCCTTGCATTAAAATATTAACAATGGAACTAGTAAAATTAAATCTTTTAAAATTTCATATTCTCTGCTGGGTTCTGTGTTGTTTTCTGGAAGGTGGGAGGCAGCAGCTTCAGATCAGTTTGGCAGAGGTAGCAAAATGTCCCTCTCTGCAGATGTTGGGCAAAGAGCAGTTCCCTGAGTACTTGCGGGTATTTAAAGTGCAAATCTCTTCCACTGGTTATCCACAGGTGTTTCTGAAGGAAATCTGAAACAACTTCATTGCCCAACACAGGATAGCTCTGTTTTTGTTTTTTTTTTCTTTTTTCTTTTTTTCTAATTATTGAGATTTTACTGAGAAAAGAACTTGGCCCATATGAAAATTGTCAGTAATCTACAATGTAGACTGGCTAATGTGTCCTTCACTGGCTCTGAACCGCAGGGTGTAGTCATACCTAGATAATAATTAACTGAAATTTTTGTCTTTTTTTAACAGGTTCATTAACTATCAAAGGTCCTGTTCAGTTCCTAATGTGCTGAATTCAAGAGCATCTGTCATAAAGCCACTTACTCTGAATTTCAGGGTACTTCAGCATCAGCAGAAAGCTCCAGTTTAGTGTGGTGGAAATGGTCTCAACACCAGCAGTGAACAAGTTGCTCACCAAGCTTAGCAGGTTGCCATTATGGAAATATCCATTGGTAGTGGATTTCTCCTGAAAGAAGTGAATGAGGTAGAAGGGTGAAAACTTAAAGCTTTCCATGGAAAAGGCGATACAGACAGCTAAATGCTCTATTTAATATAAAAGACAAAGAGCTTTGGGCTTACACCCAGGTAACAGTGTTGACAGATGTTTTGTTTTGTGTAACCTCTGCTCATAAATGAGGCCTTCAGCTTCAAAGAGGCCTTCAGCTTCAAAGAGAATTGGTTTATCTATGTAGAAGGTAACTAAGATGCATCACAGCCACCAAATAAGGATGCCAGTAGAGTCCAGGGAGCCCTTTCACTCTGTAATGCATTGTGTTTTTGGAAGAGTCAGAAGGACTAGAACAGAGCATATGGAAAGGTGTAACCTTGGTAAATGTACCCAACTAATCTGGAGAGAAGCTTAAAGAAAGAAATTTTTGCTGATTGAAAGGGGTCAGAACTGCAAGAGAATGAAATATTCACTCATCCAGAATGAAATACCCATTCATACCCACTGATTCTTCAGCCATGTTTGGTTGAAGATAAATTGCCAAAGAAAGCAAGCTATGGTTATTAGCACTCAAAGGAAATTGTGAATGACTTCACAAACGCATGCAAGTTTGAAGAAAAAAGATTCATTTACCTCCTGCTGTTTAACAAGGAAAGCATCAATGAAACTTCTTTGATCATTTTTGTCCAGAGTTTTGAGATTTTCTAGAAAAGTAACTTTTATATAAGCATGGAATTCATCTCTGTTTTTGAGAAGAGTCTTGTTGGCCCTCAGAAGGAATCCAAGGTATGGGAAGATGTTATACATCTACAAGAGTGAAAGATGCTATCCTTTAGCTGCCAAAAGTCTAAATACATTTTACGGGAACAAATGAATAATATCAGATACAAAGAATGGAGACTTCACATTAATATTTTGTTGTTTAGAACACGACAGGACAAATTCATGGTGGAAAATACCCCAAGGACTGATGAACACAGGAAACAGCAAAAATTCAAGGAGTACTGCAGTTATTTCCCATCCATCTCAATCTGTGTCACCACACAAACAGATATGGAGCATAATTACAAAATGAAAGGAAGAAATTGGTGTAAAAAACTGTATCTAGCCACTGTTGCAATGCTATAAACAGTGGTATCCTAAACATTTTCCCTCTGGAGAATGGAA